AATTTAATTGAATAATCTTCTTAAGAACTTGTACCAATGTTTTGAACATATTAGATCTTTCATGGAGTTTCATATAAATTTCATTATCAAATGAGTCATGAAAATATTTGTAACATACATTAGAAGTAAGTTAAGTTCTTTATGTATAATCTGATTGATTCAATATAGAAAAATGCTTACATCAACTTCTAGTGATTGTTTATTTAAAATTAAGGTGAGATCTTTTGCAAAAATTCTTGATTTTCAAGAAATTTTTGTATCTCAAAATTTCATTATCCCTATTTTGATTTTGCATAAAAAATTACATATGCAACTGATTTTATATTTTCAGGTGTATGGACTACAATTCAAAATGATTTAACTAAACTATAGGTCCAAAAACTTTTTACCTTAACAAACGAGTTCAATTTTGTTTTAATTGAGTTTTTCTATTATTTTGCCAATCATTTCTTTATCAACAATCTTTAATAGATTGTGGTTTTTGATCCCTATTATTATTTATCATTTTTAGCGTTATATTATATACAAATACACCGTCAATGTTGATTTCATTTTGGTTTCCATCATATTTCCATTCATGACATAATTTGATATCTTTTTGTTTTCACAGATTTTAAATACTTGAATCATTTTGAAACTTATTAGTTATGTCAAGAAAATCTTTTGGGCTTTCTATATTCTTGATTTGACCATCTTGATTTTTAGCTCCTTTACTAAATCAAGAATTTCTTATACTTGGAACCAATAAATCAACCATGTTTCATACATATTTAAGAATTTTTACAATATTGTCCAATAGGGACATCAATTTTGTTGGAGCATTAACAATTGGTATATATATATATGGTTTAACCACTCTTTTGGTTGAACTTTTATAAATAAATTATCTTTTTAATTTCTAGTTCACATTATTTTGTACGGGAATTAAGATGAGATAATGATAATTCATTTCAAATAATATTTTTTCCCAATTGCTTATTTTCTCCCCTTACTGTAGGGAAAACTAATATCCTTTTTCCAACTTCTTATCTGACCTTAATATTGGGAAAACTTATTTAAAATTAAAATTAACAAACCCAGTCATAAATAGGACTCATGTTGATAATTAATTCAACATATTTTAATATAGATGCAAATTTATACGCAACATATATTATCAACCTTATTTGATTATTACACATTCAAAAGGTTTTAAATAAGAAATATAAGGTTAGCTACCAAAAATCAATTACAAAAGGGAGAAGAACTTGTGTAACTTGTCGGCTTGATACAAAATTATTACTATAAAATGTAAGATTGTTTATCTCCAAATAAACACTAGAAGTTTTTGATCTTATGAATAATAATCTTGCAATTCATTTAAATGTTTAATAAATAATTTTTTTAAGTCTATTTTATGTATGAACATGTACTACAAGATGTTCAATATAAATTTTAGTAGACATGCAATACTCATTAAAAATAAGAGATATAAATTCATCAGCATTATCAAGATGAATTTTCTCAATTGGATAATTAGGAAAATGAACTCTTGGTTGGATTAATTAAGATAATAATATCGCAAACGTCAGGTTACACATAAAAAATAAATAAACATGTGGTCATCTCTTTGATGCATCAATTAAAATTATAAAATATCTTAATGGTCCACATGAGAGGTGTATTAGTTTACAAATATCACCTTGAATCTATTTTAAAAGTATAAGAATTTCCTTCCCAATTATCCTAGTGATATTAACTTCCATTGGAAACAATTAAGACATAATAAATTATTTGATTGAAGAATTTTATAGCTCTTCAATAAGTATCTATATAGTTTTTCTATTATTTCTCTTTGCATCATAATAAAATCGGGACCGGTCATGCCAAATAACAAATTTATTTTAATTTGTAAACTTCTGGTTTACTAGTAGCATGTGCAATATAAGCCATAGGAAAAATAATAACTTTTCCAATATATATTTCTTATTCAAGTAAAATCTCATGATCTCAAGATGGTTTATATTTTCTTAAACTTAATAAGTTTGTACAAGACTTAGAATAATATAGTACATTATCAATGTGTAACTTTATTCCTCTATGTAACAATATATTAACTCTTCAGAAGAGTTTTCAATTATTTTTGCAGTACCATATAACATTAACTTCTCACATTATTGAATATGAAAAGATAAAAATCAATACATTGTTATACTCACTTCGGAGAATGATACAATGCTAGTTGAAATGGTCTCATGCATAAAAAAATCTCAATATTTTGTTTAGTCTTCAGGAGATAATAAACCAATTTATTATATTTCTTATTTTTTTTAATATTAATGTTTCAGGAGTGAAATAGATGTATGAAAAATATAATATATTTTTCTACGATGTTTTCCAAATTTAGAAATTATTGTAAAAGTAATATTTCTCTTATATATTTTCAAACACCAATTTAATCTCAAAAATATGTATTGATTTTTATACAATAACGATGTGTATAATCTAAAACAAATGCTTCTTACAAAAAAAAAATATATTTATAAGACATATTTTGATGATGCTTTACTTCATAATTTTGGAAAATGAATGATTTGATATAAACTCATAATAAACATATAAAAAAAACGAGTGAATCTTTCTCACTATAATAATTATGATAAAATAATTTAAAAGATCATTTAATAAAGTATATTTATGTCATTGATAAGTTTACTTTAATGAAAAATAAATAATGCTAAAAATTATAAGAATTATTCTCAATGTTGTATCGAAAAAATTAAGGAAATAAAAAAATAATAAAAATTGATCATATTTTTATTAAATTATATTATTCATGTACAATCATAATCAAATTATAATTGGATGATTATGAGTGATATGCATTGATCTCTTCACCAATTTAGTAATGATATAATAATAAACATATAAGAAAACACAAAACACCAATTCCATTAATAAGATTTAAAACCTCTTTAAAATTTAATAGTAAGACACAGAGATTTAATCACATATTATGTCAACTAATTCAATTAAGAACAATATCAAATTACAAACATAGTGGACTCATAGTCCCTTCAAGAAACACATAAATCTAAAAAAGCTTAGAGATCGCTTCACTATCTACAATTTTTATAATTATCCCAAATATCATTTAACATTGTAATTATGACCTTGACAAAATTATTCGACTTTCGATGGTACTTTTATTTATATTAAAGGATCAAACATAATATTTATATTATATTTGCTACTTTATTGGTCCTTTTCTTTTTCACATTTTAAATAGTTTTTTCACTTTGGGTGAATTTTTTTTCACTTTTCGTATTATTTTCTCACTTCTAGTGAGAAAAAAAAAATCTTTCATTTTCATTATTGCACCATTTTTTTTACTTCTGGTGAGAAAAAATATTCTTAAAATTTTTTATTTGACAATGTCTTTTAGAACATTGCAAAAATATTCTTATAATTTATTTTCATAATTTTGTCTTCAAGACTAATTATATTTAAATAAATTTCATAATCATATGAATAGAAAATATCCTGTAAAATAAATAACATGAAGAATATGATTAGAGATAAAATATGAATAGAAATAAAATATCTAACCTTCAAATATGAATTTGAAAAATATTACTTTCTTCAATAAATTTATTCACAACTTTATCTTGTATGTTGTAACACTAATAAAGGGAAAATTATCGTGTCAACACCAATGAAAAAAGGACTACCATACTAACACCAATAAAGAAAAGACTATCTAATAACATGTTATGAAAATTAACATAAAGCTATAAACTATCATATATAAGCAATAAAGAGAAAGAAAATAAGGTATAGAGAGAACAATACAAGGGAGAGAATAAAGAGTTTCTTATATTATTTTTAATAATGAGATAGTCTATTTATAAACATAAATAATTACAAAATAAAGTAACAATATTAAAGTAAATATAAACAGTAATAATGGAGGGTCTCCATTAAATATTCGTAAAATTTTTATATTTTTGAGATGCTCAAAAGAGATCCCAATCCAATGACAATTTCTATGCAATATTGTCGATGCGTCCAAAAAAACATTATTGAGGTAAACAATTTTTTAGATTATTTATATTTAAAAATTTTCTCCTCCCATTATAAACCAAACAAGAAGAATTACCTTTCATCCTCTCCCTTTCCCTTTATTAAAATTTGTTCCTCCTTTGAACCAACCCTGGCATAAATCTTTAAAATTGTATCTTCCTCAACTTTTATAATTGAATTCCTAAAATTAATTAAATCAATTCCTATATATCAATTACAAATGATCATCTTCTATGAGTATATTTTAGGAATATTTCTTTAAATGAGATAATTTTTTTTAAAAAATTTTCGACTTCATATATATCTAATTCAATATTATTTATTATAATTATCTATAATTAAATTTTAATATTTTTAAAAATAAATAATTAATAAAAAATTGTGTTATAATATAAATTATTTATCATAATCATATATCTAAAATATAATTTATATGTTTAAAAAAACTACTTATTCAAATTTTAAATATAATTTATACATTTAAATACAACATTTATTTGTATACATAATTTATTTTAAATTTTAATTATATATAATAAAAATTGAATTGATATATTACGCATACTAAAATACTAATTATGATAAATTATTAGTTTTCTAGCAGTTTTCTGTCAAGATAAACTAATTTTAGGAAACCAATTACAGCAACCCACTTGAATAACAGTCCAAACAAGTTAATTACTGAGTTGTTCAACCCACTCTTTAGCATGCCTAGCGAATTGTAACTTGGCGCTGACTCAGTTTCAAACAATGAACATCTAAGTAGAACAGAAGCAAGATGCATTGTAAAAAAGTGCAGAATCTCGTATTAACATTCTATTTACTGATTAAATACAATACCCTAAATTAAATTATCATAAAACCATTTTCACTGACCACTACTAAAAAGGAATAGTGTCATTATCCCGCAAGAGGAAAAATAAAGCTAGCAAAAGAAATTACAAAATTTTATATTCTCTAGGTAAGGCGGCTTCAAAATATCTTGCTTTTGCTAAGTGGCTCTTGTTTGGTGTGATGGTTACAAAATTGGGATCAGCTCTTTGATAACTGCAAAAGTAAAAGAAATACAGGTGAACATGCAATGCAAATTTTGATAGAGTATGTGGATTCTAATGCGACGAGCTCAATTTGAAAGTATAATCATATTTTAAGATGCAACACATGGGTAGTACCGTTCATGTTACATTATTAGCAAATAACTTATTGAATCTAAAACACAGAAGCGTTTGCTATGAAACGAACCTGGCTTCCCTGAGGCTCTCACTTTGGATGCCAAATCCGTATTGCATTTTACCATCAGCACGATCTCTAGTGGCTACATAAGAATAGGATATTCTTAGCACTTCAAACATACAGTACTAGAATCATTGATTATACTTTCTTTAAAATCAACCTCCAATCCCTCTCTCCGAGAAAAAAAAAAAGCTCAACGAAACTCCATTCCTTACTTTGAGATACTAATTATAATCTAGATATTTTGATTTACCATTTTCATTTAAACTTGCTTAAATCTTGTAAGCATCACATATAATCAGATATAAAGAAAATTTTGTAGAATTAGAATTTGAGAATTGTATAACATCATAGATTTTAGAACATGTCATATCCACCACCACCTACAGATTTAGTTTAACTACTAATTAGGTAGCACATATGTAGAAAATGATATTACAGAAGTGATACTCACTCCTCATCTAGAAAATAATGCACCACATCAACAAACTTTGCAGGGGTAAACATGCCATCTATTAAACTTGATACACTATGATGCACCGATACGACACGCGTATCGGATACGACACGTATCCGATACGGCGATACGATTTTTTAAAAATATATAAGATACGATACTTGTAAAATACGTGTCATCATATATATCAAAGTTCATACAATATAATAAATGTGTACTTGTAATTTTGATCAAAATTCATAAACATTTAATATATAATAGCTATTTTGCAAATCCAAATTAAAAACATACTTATTGTACATTACTAAAAGTAAATAAATTATAAATCATTTCATCATAAATTACTTTTTATTATTTGCAAATAGAATTAATATTACCAATTTCATTCCTTTCTTAAAATTATCTATATAGAAGAAAATTTTCATTTATAGTTCAGTAAGGACCAATAGTTCTATGTTTCTATATTAAACATGTTTATATATCTTATTTAGCTGTAATGGATATTTCATAATTTTTTAAAAAATTTGAACACTTTATCAATACGTATCACTAATAAGTACCGGTGAAGTATCTGAAAGTATCAAAATTGAATAAATTTTTTATAATATTTTTAAAGGCTAGTAGGATACTTCATTGACACGTATTGGTGAAGTATCTAATAGTATCGTGTCGGATACGTATCGGATACGGATACGTGAAACAAATTGAAGTATCCGTGCTTCATAGTTGATACATAATCATGGTCAGAAGCAGAATTAGGTCAAGAACTTTGAGTGACCAGAATAAAAAACAGAATGAGCATACAAAAGGAGAGAAAATATATATTCTATTAAGAATATAGGTAAAATGTATGGGGAATATTTTAAACATTCAAACTGGAGGAAGTCAGCTTCCTCCCCCAGCCCCCAATAAAAAAATATAAAAAAATAAAAAAAAATCAGAGCCTCAAGTTAAGTAACCATTGATTATTATATTATGACTATATAGGTGTTGGTCTCCTAATACATACATGCAAAAGGAACAACAAAGTTCGAATCCCACTAAAGAAAAGAACAAAGAAGAAGCAAGACTGAAAAAAAAAACCCTCAGACACCTGAAATAGTGAAAGTGAAACAAGGTTTCCACCATGACTTGAAAGCAAATGCCATGGATGAGCTCCGAGATCCAACCTTTGCCCGAGAAGATGAGAAATAATCTACTATGATGCACCATATATAATTTATATAAATCTGCATAACATTCATCAATTCTCTACCTTCAGCAAGAAGTTTTCATTGGCCTGCCAGGACGCGCCTAATTGAAAGTTTGAGTCTGAGATATTGTTTCCTGCTATGGCTTCATCCACACTGACACATTGAATATTAGATTATACCACATTGTTGCAACTGCAATAAGTTTGAATATCTGAGTAAAAAAGAATACCTTGTTTGTAACTCAAACCCAAAATCAATGTAGTTTGTAATTCCAACAATGGATTTGTCACGGGAATTCTTCACCTGTTCAATTGAAGTCAAGTTTATGAGTATAATATATTCTGATTCAACAAGAAGTTAAATCTGCCAGTTTACCATAAATCAAAAAATAAAAAAATTGAATGAGGGTAAATTTTAACAATAAATAAGTAATAATAGAATTCTTTAAGCAATAAAGTATATAATCACAAGGAAAATGTGTCCACAAGCATCTAACTCATACCAGAACAAGGAGGCATTGCGCGTGCGTGTAGGTGTAAAAATATATATTCTCTTTCTCTTTTGTTGAAGAAGGATTCCAAGTTCCAACTCATTCACTGCTATGAGGAGTGTGACTTTAATGATTCTTTTTTTT